ACATTGTTGAGAGTAAAATGGCATGAAGATAGATATTTGAAACAGACGATGTCAGACTGGGTCTAATTTTTAAATAAATGTATAATTTCTGTTTCAACTTAGTGGTTAAGACTTGTACATGATCACGATAAGTCAAATGAGAATCCAAAGTAATTCCAAGATATTTGTAGGTAGTGACAATATCAAGGGGTTTGTTTAAAAAAGTGAGTTGATTTGTTATATTGAAATGTCTTCTGGGTGAGGAAAAATACATGCACACAGATCCTTCGGTCTGTCAGATAAATATTGACAGAAGACATATTTTTGTTTCAACTTTTTTAAAGGAAGTTTGTTTCTGTTGTGATGAGTCAGATTTTTACTGTTTTCTCCTAATTAATCAAATAATTTGTGTTTTGTCAGTCACTTCGTTGTAATAAAAATCTCTTGTGCAACTCAACAGTATAAGTCTGTTGCCAGCTCAGTCAGAGGTCTCCTTCCGTTGAGAGTTTTGATGTAAAGCAGGTGTGTCCAGTCCTGGTCCTGCATGTTGTTTCTCTGCTCCAACACACCTGATTCATTGACTGAATGACCTCAAGTTCTGTAGAGCCCTGTTAGTCATCCATTTATTCATTCAGGTGTGTTGGAGCTGAGAAACSTCTAAAACATGCAGGATAGCGGCCCTCAAGGACCAGGATGGGACACTCCGATCTATACACAAACACTTTTTACTTTTTCAATGTTGCAGCTTTACAGAATTTTGTGATTTAAATAATAAGGACTCTTCATCCTAAACCTTCCACAAAGGAGCTATTGACTGACACGCAAGAGTGTAACCACTGGAATAAATTGATTTATTTTTCCTTTTTTTTTCTCCTGAGCAATTTTTACATTAAATGATAATCAAATTAAAAAACGTAGATTATTTTCAATACTGGAACAGGATTTTTGCAGTGATGTGAACATGTGGACACTTCAGTATTTGTCTTCCCTCACCACAGGATGCTGTATTTGCGTTTATCAGAATTATTTTTTTTATAGGAACATGTCAAAACCTTTTAATTGAAATGCTTAAGTCTTATATTATTCTGCATGTTTGTTTTTTCAGGTTTGTTGAATGTAAAGACTGTGGACGTAAGATGCACCAGATATGTGTTTTACACTACGAGGTTATTTGGCCATCTGGGTGAGATGTTGCTTTAATATAGATTTACTGCTTAGATAATGCTTTGAGTCAAAGTTAACAAACTTTTAACTTCTTTTTTTTATTTTTTAGGTTCATCTGTGACAATTGTTTGAAGAAGAGTGCAAAAACACGAAAGGAAAACAAGTTCACAGCAAAAAGTTAGTAGTTTTATCCTGTTTTCTGGAAATGCAAGTCTATGGATAAACTTGGCTGGGATGTTTTGTACAGTGCAGGTCTTTGCACTTTAGATTCACAGGATCATATAGAAGGAAATTTATTTAACTAAGGTTCTACGTGTCCCGGATGACTGCCTGAGGGYGGCGCTGAAAGCAATTAATGTTTCCTTCGCGCATGCACTGTTTGAGTAAATAGTATCAGAAATGTCACATCTTTGACTCGTCAGATGATTACCTCGAACCGATATACTTGTAGGCCAGTATCATCTGAGGTTCTGTTCCTACAGAATCTTTTCACAAAATGCAAGGATTCTGARTAGGGTTGGGCAATTGTTGGTATTTATCCAACTATTAATTAATTAACTATTAATTTGACGATTAATTTCCTGGACACCCTCATGTCCTGGTCACGTGACCAATGTAGTGGGAAAGATTTGCTCTCTGTAAAAATCTGTTCCAAATTGTGTCAGAATTACAGACTTCAGGCTATACATCAAATTTTAAATTGGGTTGAGAGACCAAGTAAACCCTACCCTCAACTATCTATGGTCCTGAGCTTTGGGTAGTGACCGAAAGATCAAGATCGCGGATACAAGCGGCCGAAATGAGTTTCCTCTGCAGGGTGTCTGGGCTCTCCCTTAGAGATAGGTGAGAAGCTCGGTCATCTGGGAGGGACTCAGAGTAGAGCCGCTGCTCCTCCACGTTGAGAGGAGCCAGTTGAGGTGGCTCATCTGGTTAGGATGCCTCCTGGGTACGTCCCACTGGGAGGAGACCCAGAGGAAGACCCAGGACACGCTGGARGGACTATATTTTTCTGCTGGCCTGGGAACACCTTGGGATTCCCCCGGACGAGCTGGCCCAAGTGGCTGGAGAGAGGGAGGTCTGGGTCTGCTGCCCTCGACCCGACCCTGAATAAATGACAGAAAACAGACGGACGTCATATTTGAAGCGGAGAGGAGCATCAAAGCAGACTGACAGGGAAAATTTCCACAGTCAGTCTGCCTGGTGGCATTCATCATATTAATTAATCAATTTATTAATCAACAATTAATTGTCAAGTGCCAAAAAATAATGGATTAATGTTTTTCTGACGATTAATTGCACACGATATGATTATGCCCAACCCTAATTCTGAGTGACTCTGGGATTCATAGGATCATAGTTRCATATGTAACATGGGTTCTGTTTCATCCCTCCTGACCGCCAGAGGGCTGTGCTTTCAGCTCAGCAGTATCAGCTWACCAACAATGTCATGAAGAATCCTGATCACATCCCTCACTGAGGAGGTGCAGAGGACCCTTTGTAGAAGCACCTGGCTGACAGGATGAGAGGCAGCCACATTGAAATAGTAAAATCTGGTAAACATGCTCCGTGAGGTCCAGAAAGCTGCAGCACATATCGCTTCCAGTTAGGSATGGATACCTTTGGCATTTGAATCGATTCGGTACAAATATCCGGTATCTTTAAAGTGAAAACACTTGAAAACAACAAGGCTGTTTTGTCTTATTGCACAAATTAAAATCCAGCTCCACTATTGATGTCATTTCGCTGCTAGAAAAATGTGTGATGGAGGTCCATGGAAGGCAAATAAGTTTAAATCAAATAAGCAAAAGAGGATAGAGATAAAATAAATAAAAGGTATTCAAGCTWMSTTTTGAGCATCCAAAACACGTCCAACACTTCAAGTTGGCTGCTTGTGCTCTTTAGGTCAGGTGCGTTCGGACTGTCGGGAAGCTCCTCTGTTGGAGAGACTCTGCCGGTTTCTTTAAGGGTGGATGAAATAAAGAAAGTGCCGTACTTTATTTACTTTGAGCAAGCGAACGTCGTGCTCACAAGATAATTAATCCACCAGATAATTCAGAGGCGGTCTATTCGGAGAGTTTTACTCCAGGAGCTGCGCGCTGTGAGACTCGCTTTCAAGCTACGTTCTTAGCTCTGTTTACCAGCGGCTGTTGATGTCATCACGCTCTTGCGTGATGCTGCGTTCAGGACAAGCATGGAAAACTCATCACTCTTACGCCAATACGGTCGCAATGATGCGTTTAGGTACCGAAACATGGTACCGTTTGTTACGTAAATAGATACTCGGTAGTACCGACAGAATTCGGTCTCTACTTTAAAAAGTATTGAATTCGGTGCCCATCCCTGCTTCCAGTGCAATCCTTCTAATAGCTACCCAGGAAACTAAAATGCCCCGGTAGTGTTCCTTCATGTTGACTGGCAGGGAGCAGCCTCCTGCACTGTAGGCGTGGCATAACACAAAAACAGCTTGTCTGAACACCTCACACCCGCAGGAGCCTCCTTATATGCCTGCAGCGCCCTCACTGGGCATAACAACTCAGAYTTATCCCCAGCTGCTCCTGAGGCAAATAAGTTTAAATCAAATAAGCAAAAGAGGATGAAACCTTGCCATTCTCAATGGTTGGTTACTGTGAGAACGAAATAAAACGTTTGGCACAAATGCAGTGTTCGGCCACAAGGTAACACCAGAGCCATCCAGACCACATCTGAGACATGAAGTACTGACAGAGCACAAAGYTCGCCAACCCTCTTATCTGAGACAATAGCCAACAGAAAAGCAGTCTTACATGAAACCCACTTGAGGTCCGCTTGCTCCAGAGGCTCGAATGGAGGATGGCACAGGACTTCAAGCACCAAGGGCAAATCTCAAACGGGTGCTAGCTGCCTACAAAAACCACGCAGGGAAAAAAAAAACGAACAGCCGTCACACCAGCATGGCCACACTATATTGCAACACAACYTCCGTCGCAGTGAGAACCACGGCCATGCTGGCCAGTACAGATCCATCAGCAATAACCTGTTAACCTACTCTTCAGAGGGTTCTCAGGGAGCACCCTCTGAAGAGTAGGCCAAATCAGTAGAAGAGGCGGAAAAGCATGCAGGAGGACCCTTGGCCAAGCTTGTATGATATGCTGGAAGTTGCACTATGTCCCAGTGCAGGCCRAACTACAGGCTGAGAATGGGAGCGAATGCAGCCATCCCCAACACTCAGCAAAATTAGTTAAAAAAATCAAACGGCTGACACAGTCAGCTATGTACAAGTTACAGGATGGAAAAACCAGACTGAGATTGGGAGAGGGGGCACGAACGCAGCCGTCACCAAAACACAGCCAACAAGGTTGGAAACAACGAGAGTGTATACAGTTCAGCTATGTCTACGTACAGGATGGAAAAAGATGAGCACCGTAAAGAGAAGCTGTAGAGAAGGGGCTAATTCACTGCCATCACCAGCAAACAGAAAGAGACGAACACCATTCAATCAATCCAAAAACTCAGAACAGAGCTGAAAACTGTGAGAGGGTGCGAATACACTCCACCTTCACCAGTCAAAGAACTGCAGAAAAACACCATGCTGGGAGAGGAGGCAGACACACCATCATCACCAGCATATGGCAAACATAGAGAGGCTAACACTGTTAGCTCAACCCAAACAATTCAGAACACAGCTGGAACTGGGAGAGGGTGTGAAAAAAACTCCACCAGTTAAAGCACCGTAGAAAAAAGCCAGGAGCGAAGATAAACTCTCTTCACCAGCAAACGGCAACATATCTTTACAAAGATTCACTTGTTGCAGCCTGAGGACTGCGAGACCGCGCTAACTCCAGTCAACAGGCGATGGGGCGTCCAGCAACAGTGAGAAGTAATCCAAGCTTTGCAAAGGCTTGATGTTGTGCAGAGATACGAACCGCATGCAAGAAGAAAAAAGCAGCAAAGCCTCGGATGATACTGACCTGTATCTGTTTGAGGCAATCATCTGACGAGTCACRGCTGTAACGTTTTTGATACTATTTACTCAAACGGTGCATGCGCACAGGGAACCTTCAGCACCGCCCTCTGGTGGTCATCCGGGATTCATAGAACCATAGTTACAAACGTAACTTTCATGGTTCTTGTTGGCTTTATGGTTTGACTGGTGGCTTCCCACCACCCCCAGAGTTTTAGCTCTGAAGAAAGTGTTCTGTACCTTGATTTCAGTCTGTAATATTGTATGATTTCAGTCGGTAGTATTGTATGATTTCAGTCTGTAGTATTGTATGATTTCAGTCTGTAGTATTGTATGATTTCAGTCTGTAGTATTGTATGATTTCAGTCGGTAGTATTGTATGATTTCAGTCGGTAGTATTGTATGATTTCAGTCGGTAGTATTGTATGATTTCAGTCGGTAGCATTGTATGATTTCAGTCAATAGTATTGTATGATTTCAGTCAATAGTATTGTATGATTTCAGTCAGTAGTATTGTATGATTTCAGTCAGTAGTATTATATGATTTCAGTCAATAGTATTGTATGATTTCAGTCAATAGTATTGTATGATTTCAGTCAATAGTATTGTATGATTTCAGTCAATAATATTGTATGATTTCAGTCAGTAGTATTG